ACGTAACCGTGACGATGATTATGCGTGCGTGAGAATTAGCGGGTAGAGATGCTGCGCATACAGCCTGAGTAATTACTCTGGAGAGGACAACAACATGCCCTCCAGCCAAGCACAGAACGACTTCTGCAGTTTATTCCCCCCGGAGGAGCAAACACACAGGCATTCTCAATGAAAGTCAAGCTGGAATTAAGGGCACCGGAGCCAGTCAGGACCAGCTTTGGGTAAAAAAAAAAAAACGTGCAGAGAAGCCGGAGCCTCTGCCAAGCAGTCCCATTTCTTAGAGGTTTTCGCTTTGTCAGCACAGATAGTAAGATGATGTAAGTTTGGAGTAAGACTGGAGGGACTTTGCTGTATCTACTGTGCGAGGAATCGTGGGGATTCAAATTCCTAAAGTTCCCATTGAAAGTCTCCTCTCTGTTTGTCTCTTTTTCCACCTTCATCTCCGCCTCTTTCTCTGTCTTCCCTTCTCCCCTTGCGCTTCCAGTACCTGTATGAGGGAATGAGGATCAGTGAGCTGCCCGTGGATTTCTCAGTGGTGTGGAATGGGAACTTCATTATCGATAACCCCGAGAATATACAAGGTGGGAAAAACAGAAGCGCTCGCAAACAGCACGAGCTCCAGATAAATCACTTTTTTCCTGTCTTTGTGTGTGTAGCCGATGGCGTTTTATAAACCAACCTCAAAAGACAGCGGGCAGAACACTTTGAAAAAAAAAGTCATCATTCGCTCACAGTTTTCGGTTCCCCTTCCCTTCTCTGGCCCCACAGTGCACCTGTACAAGTGCGCGGCCCAGCGGGACAGCTGCGGCATGTGTCTGAAGGCCGACAGGAAGTTCCAGTGCGGATGGTGCAGCGGCGAGGGGCGGTGCACGCTGCGGCACCACTGCCCCCCCATCAGCCCCTACGCCACTCGCTGGTTAAACCTCTCCACCAAGAACGTCAAGTGCACCAACCCCCGCATCACTGAGGTAGGCGCCCCCAAAATCAGCCCTCCACCCCGACCCTCAACGATCAACCTGCACAGTTCTCGTGAACATTTTTAAAAAAACGTCAATTCAAAAGTGGATTGGATAGCGCTGGAATTCTGGAGAGAGACGGGAAACTATTGACCTCAGAATATCGGCCTTATGTCAGTCTGAGCCTTTCTCTTCAAACTCCTCCGCGAGAACAACTCTGCACACATCCCTCCGAGGTGTTCGCCACACCTAGTGCTGCAGGATGTTTTCAGTGTTTGGGCTCGTCATCGTCGGCTTTCTCCCACGGCTTTTGCGATCAAGAGAAAAAAAGCGTGTGTTTATCAGTGTATCGGGTTAGTCGAATTGGGCTCCTGGTTTGGCTCAATGCAGGATTCATGTGTGTGTTCACACACATACACACAGAAATGTAAAAAGCTGCCTTTTTGACATTGGCCTTCTCCGATTCTCAAGCTCCTTACACTTGACGATTTTTCTGTCTTCATCAGAAGTTATTTCAAACTTTTGAGAGTAACTGTTGTGCCAATTATTGTTGCAAAAAAAACTTACTAAATTTTAAATGTTCTCTTAATGTCGCTGTTCATTTGTTAGCTGTCAGGTATGTGTAACTGTTTTTCCTCCAGCTCTCTGAGCCTGCCCAGCGAGTGTAAAATACAGCCCAAAGTGACACACATCCCCCTCAGATACATCTGGGTCATGACCTGGAAGTGCTTAACTGTTTTCCATAATTGGGCTTTTGCTTGCTCAAGCCACATTCTCCTCCGCCCCGGTGCGCTTGCTGCCACAGAGGAGTCAGAGCAGGAGGGATATACTATTTAATTAGGCCTGGTAACACACCAGTGCTTTGTGGTTAACCCGCCAGACCTCTCTGCTTCCACATTGATTCATTTGGCTTCTCGTTCCTCCACCACATACTCTGATCTAACACTAGCCAATTTAGAATGGGAAGTTAACAGCATGGTTAATTGATTTGCTATTCTATTCAAAGATTAGAGGCCAAAAAGAGAGACAAGATATGAAAGGGTCCATCTCTTCTCGTAATTATTTTTTCTTTATTCTTCCCCTCCCTGTCAATCCTGTTTTTTCAGCTTTCACTTAAAATCATTTGGCCAGCGTGTCACCGTCTTTGACTGGTGAATCAAGTTGGTTAAACTTCCAGGGTGTCATTTTATGACACATTTGGTCCACCGGAACATTCCTCTTACCACCCACATCCTCCTGTGCTTGTTTCTGAGGTTTAAAGGGGGTAATATATTGCGAGCAGTCAGAACAGTCAAAATGGAGAGCCAAACCTGAGGTGCAGTCTCTCAAACAGCTCAATCAGATCTATCGTTTTTTTTCCGAGGCGCTTCTAAACAGATGTGGTGCATTATTCAGTGGAAGAGAAGCTAGAACTTTGCTCACTCCATAGGAGCCTCGCTTGCATGGTCGCGCATATGAATGCGTTTTCATGCATCTGCTGCCGGCTTGTCAATTGTAAACTTAGCAGGAAATACAAGGCGCACAGATGGAGAACATTGATGTGTTGCCATGTCCTTCCACTCAGTTAGAAGTAGTTGTTTGCTCCTTTGTTTACCTTTCAGGTACCATATATTTGATTAGAAAGAGAGACTTACTGAGAAGCCCTCGGTTTTTGCAAGGAGAGTATGTAAAGCTGCTTGCTTCTCATAAAGAGAGGAAGAATATACAGAATATTAACCCCAGTGGATTCATCTGTGGTCCATTTGAGTTTCAATCAGAACTTCATACCGATTTACCCAATGGCTAAGTGTGTAAAAGCAAAAAATATAAATCTATTTCAAGAATCGGAGCCATAAAACGATTGATAGCGGGACGGGGAAAGAGATGCAGCTTTGTTTGTGGCTAGAGGATGCAAAACCCCACACTGCAGGAGCACGATCTTCAAACACAAACACACCTTTTTTTCTCCTACACCTCATCCTCTCCTCCCTCCCCCCTCTCTGGTCTCCGATTGATTACACTTTCTTTAAGAAGCAGACATCCCCATGGTGGGCTGAATTTATTAATACATTTAGTTTTGATTGTATGCACAAAAGCCCTCATCACGAGCTGATTTGTATACATACTAGCACATTAGTAGACATGCCTACCACAAGATAGGCCTTTTGAATATTTAATGTTTCTATTAGGTGCCATGGGGCCTCCCACCATGGGCCATTAATATTGAAGAGATGTAAGCCCCTGCTAACAGCAGAGGGAACCACATCAAATGAAGCTGGGAGTTGAATGGGCAAATGAAAGGCTTCTCTTCAGTAGGCCTCGGCCATGGCTGCTGTTTGAGTTTTCCACTGAAGCAAAGAGACCACCACGCCTTCTTGTGACAAGGAATATAAACATCTCTCTGTGGCCTTAGGAAAGGAAAAATGTAGAATTCAACTGTTCCCGTTCCCCACCCCCCATCCCAGGGTACGCAAGTTTATAGTTGGTTCCTTGCATTCCGCATCGGTTGTACCTGTCAGTCTATATCATCCCTGAGTGTTTTTCTGCACACTTTAGGTGCCCTCCTATATTAAAACCTCCGTCTGAGGGACATACCCTGTAAATGCCCCTTATCTGAACCTATGGATTCCCTTTTCTCCCCACATATTAAGTCTCTCTCTCTCTCTCTCATCACGGGCCATATCTTTTAGCTCACAACCAGACATTTAAGACCCCATAAAGGATTTAGGATGTCATTTATTCGGGTACGAGTGGCCAGTAGATTTTTTTTCAGGCCCGTTAAATGCGGCCAACAATTAAATGCGACGTGCTCAAATTAGTCAGAGCACGAGTCCAAAGACAATGAGATCAGAAGGAATCTTCCAATTTGTGTTAAGGTGCTTTATTAATCCCCTTTGGGGACATAATGGTTTTGCAGTATAGATACAGAACATGTGATGTATAGCAAGTCGTAATTAAAAGGACAGGCCGTAATGACGCCCCGCTCTGGTCACTGTTGCAACAGACTTGAAGAAGCCTCTGACTGAGAACACTTGCTTAACTGGTATGTGACATAGAGGATTTATCGTGTTGTCCATCATGTTTTAGCGACCCAGGCTGAATTCTTTTTCTGCTTTTAGTTACAAGCCCCCAGCACAGAGCCAGCCCTTTGTATCAATTTTCTCACTTTCTTTTCCTGAAGCTAAATTTAACCGGCAAGAACAACCCTGTGGCTGGATTCCACCAGATAAGTTATTTAGAAGTTTCAGGAGATAAAATCCTGTTGTAAAAAAGTTGGAGGGCTATATTAAAGTACTTAAACAGTAAAAATGCTGATGGTGTACATGTTATTGATAGAAGGGATACTTAAACATTATTATTGCTGATATGTCTCGGAAAATTTCGACCGGGCCCAGTTGTAGTTGCAATGACATGCTAGGCTTGCATAGCCTGAAGGCAGCCGGGCTGCTTGGGTATCACTTTCTGCAATATATATTGAGTTTAGCCACAGCTGCATCAGCACATCCTTCCCAACTATTATTTTAGCTGAATGTGTCAAGATCACGCAGACAGACAGAGAGACTGGAGGCCCATATAGTTTCCTTTCTTGAAGCCCTTTCTTCTCTCTTTTTTTTACACTTTCTCTCTTTCGAAATTAGACCACTGCTCACGAGTCCCTCAACAGCACGCTTTTGGCCAAATACTACTGATTTGTCTGAGGCAAAAAAAGGCGATCCAGTGAGCCAAAGGAAGATAAGATCATGCCATAGAGAGAGCGTAATAGTGCGAGCTGGGAGAGCAGTGTCAAACCCTACCGGCAGCGTGCCGGGAATTACCCTCCGCCGACGGTGTGACAATGGCACGTAGGCAGCAGCACTGCTGGTAAAAAGGATTACACAGGCCGCACGGGGGAATAAGGGCAGCGGGGTGTGCATGCATGTCAAATAAGGTTTCCTCTTATGTCTGAGAGTCTGCGTGGTGAGACAAACAAGGAAGCTGGTGCTTAAAGGGGGAAGATGTGTTACTTAGCCCGAGGTCGATGAGATGATAAAGGCAGAAGGGGTTCAAAGATGAAGACGTCCCACGGAAATGAAAAGACAAACTCGGCTTTTCAAAAATATTATCCACAGTTTATAACTCCAGCGCATTCCCTCTGGCCAGCGGGTGTCATTAGAATCATGTGTTGTGGCAATTCTAACGGTTCCGTGAACAGAAAAGCAGCCATCGCAGATTAAGCCGCAGTGTGTTTGTCAGAAAGGCAGAAGCAAAGAGTGGCGCTTTTATTTCATTCCTCACAGCCTGAAGACACTGGTGGCATGCATCTTTGAAGTGGCTGCTTTTTCTGTGATCCTGATGAAGCCGGCCTCTGTCTGCCAATACCGAGCTCAGTCAAATAGGTTTCATGCATGGATTAGTCTTCCAGTGCTAAGTCCAACAGGGGAAGGGCTCTGTCTGAGGCTTAACGGAACATAGGAGCCATCTACTATGTTTTTTAGCATGCCTCACTGTTGGTCGGCCATCGTCTTGTCACCCGTGTTGGTCACACCGGTACCCACTTTCCCCTCCAGTTGTTTATCCTATCCTCTTAATTCCCTGCTTTCTCTCAGTCCCCCTCTCTTCTTAAAAAAGTTTGAATCTGCTCTCCCTTTTTTTATCTCTCCTGTCCTCTCTCAGGCCGTTAAATTGCTTATGTAACTTCACTAAGTCTAATCGAATTGATGCTGCCATTGCCTGACATGGATATATTTAGCCATTGTGTCCCCCCCTCCCCCCCCCCACCACTCCCCCTATACCCTGCAAACCCAAGCAGTGCTAAAAGATTCATGTATTCAGACCCCTCAGGCGGAGCAGTGACACACTTACTTTACATCCAGAGCAATTAATGTCCACTGAATCTAGATTACAATGCTGGAATCCCAGTAGGACGCTGCTTTACCCGAGAGCTGAGGGTGTTGGGGGGAGAAGGGGAAGTGTGCATAGCATCTCTTGAAGGGCTGCTATCACATGCTGCCCTGCACCTAAGTGAGCACTCTCTAAAGTCAGCCGGGCTCTCCCTTCACTAGCCGGACCAGTAATAGCATATTGATTGTTTACATAGCACCAGCAGCCACACACACACCAAAGTGACAGTCCGTGAGTCCCCCCCCTCCCTGTCGTCCTCTTTCTTGTTTTCCTGTTCAACATTTTCTCCCCCCCCCCCCCCCCCCCCTTCCCCTCCCCTCGTCTGTTTTTACCCTTCTTCCCCTTTTTCTCCTGGGTCTCCTGCGTCCTCCCTGTCATGTTTTACTCCGTTTTAAAGGTCTGGACGATGTCCAGTTTGTATCCTCGACAGGGCTGGGCGGCACAGAAGGCACGGTGCCACACCGTGCCAAGGTCATGCTGGGCGGCCATATTGCATTTTATGAGTAGGTAGTCTGCACTAAGCATTAATATGGCCCCTTGTTAGATTTACCGTCCATGGCAACAGCGGTGGGTTCTGCTCAGGCGGTTAGCCAAATGTGAATAATCCCTCTTACTTATAGACTGTGAAGTTTCTGTTATGCGGCTTACCTTTGCAGAGTTTATGCAAAGGATTTGCGGAAAACAAGGAGGTTTACAAGTGTATTTCTCGTGTTGTTGGGATATACAGGCTTCTTTTTTCTCCACAAATAGCAACAAAACATGTGCCATCGGTCGCTTTTGGTTGACATAGCCAGACATTCTTAATTGCAGTAAATGCTTTAAATGGTATTATAGCCACCTGAACAACAAGACCATATTAAACATTATGCATCTACACACACATACTCATAAATAAGTGGTTGTATTGTAATCCTGATTGACTACTCTAATAAAACATGCTTACATGCATCTTTTATACCCCCCCCTCCAGGTCACCCCGGTGGCTGGACCCCCAGAAGGAGGCACCCGGGTGACCATCTATGGAACAAACCTTGGTCTGACTTTCTCTGACATGGTGGGAAATGTAGAAGTGGCAGGGGTGAGATGCACCCCTGTGGAGGAGGGCTACATCATCGCTGAACAGTAAGTCATACAAACGGAGCATTTACGAGCAATTTGTCTTTTAAATCTCTTTGTCATTCCATATGCCGATATCAAATCACATGATTAAAAAAACAATGTGTCCTCGATTACCTCCCAACGTCAGTTAGAGTTCAACTTGGGAACTAAGTTATAAAGGGAACATCTGTAAGTCTTAGCTACTGAAAAAAATATGTTTTCCATTATCCTATGAAAACTAAAACTACACCTTTTTGGCCTAAAATCGGTTAACTGTTGAATGAACAGTTAAGATCTAATTTGCATCCCTCTTTTTGAAAATCTCTTTTTCCTAAAATGAAATCAAATTTTAAAGTCGACAGTGGTGATTAAAACAGATGTTTCGCGCTGTGCATCAAGCCTGCAGTTTTCATACATAATTGATGAGCTAAAACAGCAAACAAACCAGTTTTCTGTATGTAGACACACAAAGCTACTTTTCCACTCCATTTTTTTTTTTGTCTAAATGAGGACTGGCGCGGGGCCAAACATCCCGATCCTAACATTTCTGTTCCACCCCTGCAGCACACTAACCCGTTTCTCTCTCTACTGCTGCTCATCTAGTCAGCAACAACCCCACGACAGCTGTGTGTGTTTATTTGTGTTTACCTCCTTAATTGTCCCACGCTGAGTATACGCCACGTTGAGGTCTGTCCCGTTCACCCTTAACTAATGAATCACGGCCCATGCTTCACTACTTGCCCATCTCCCTCTTGGCTAGACATGCAGATGTGTGGTGACTCAGAAGCCCTGTGCCTTATGGTTGTTTAACATCCTCAGGTGATGCAGGCCTCACAGGGGATACAGGAATATTTAATATTTGATTTACCTTTAATATACATCGGTTGGGATGCCCGTGGTTATTGAGATTCATGGTCCAGCCAGCATGGATAAAATTACCATTGTGAGGAAAATATGTACGCATTGGAAAACCATGATAGTGTACAAAAAATGATTATGCTAATATAGATGATAGTGAAAAAAAAACAAAAAACGCCTTTGTATTTATGCGCAGCGTGCCTCAAACACCAAATATGTGTGAGGTTTTATGCCCACAGACTCACAAATTTGCGTACAGGCCTTTGTGAAGTGAGTGAGAGATAACACAAATGCAGTACAGTGAACGAGCACTCACGCACACGCACTGGCTCTGAAAGTCATGGCTCTCAGAGGACCCTTTAACCCTAATTCTTTCCTTGGCCTACTTCTGCCATCCGAAAGAGAAGTGCTTGCCATTGTGCTTTTGCCAGAACTCAATCTTTTCTTATTACAGGGCAGAATGATAATAAGTACAATGCAAACACGTCTTTTTCCCTGTTGCCGCTGACCTTTTGGTTTACATATATATGTATAGATTTAGTAATAGCTCACGACATATAATGTGCCCATAGCTCCGGGCCCGGCGCCGGGCAGATGTGATTAAAATTCTCCATGTGCCAGTCGGCAGCGCGGGACAATTTGTCAGCAGCACACTGATCTGACAGCAATTTAATCCAAGTGGGGACAAGCAGTTCATTTGTGTGACATGTGAAAAAATGACAAGGCAAAATTAAAAAGCTAACCTATGACATTTTTAGAATAACTCTGAAGGAATCGAACTGATCTGATAGCCCTCTGTGTCGACCTGCTATGTGACTGGAGAAAAAAAGCATGGCCCTGTTTGACTCTTGGTGCTCGTTTTCAATGTTAATTCAGTCGCCATTTCTCCTAAAATAGACTGGACAGGATGAAGAAGAAAGACAGACTTTTTTTTGTGCCTTTTATCTGACCGCTTCAGAGGAGCGTGTAAAAACCAACTTCTGTGTTTTTTCAGCAGTTATAGAAGGAACGTTTTCAATCCATACAGTTTTTCAAATAAGTTTCAGGCCACACGTGTACTCTTAATGTGCATGTTGTTCATTGTTTGTCAGAGTTAGTGAAGCGAGTGGCCTAGTTTTAACGGCGACTGTTAGGTCAACCTTAACTGTTTTAAATAAATGTACTATTTATTCCTCCCTATGGTTTGTGGTGGCTAAACTGAGAGCTCACGAGTCAACACTGCATTTTAAAGTAAGCCGTTTTTCGACATACGCATCAGGTCCGGTGAAGTATATTTCCATAACTCTAAAACTTAGCAAAGGACCAGTACAGAAGGGATTTGAGGACCTAAAGCAGGTGAATAGTCGTGTCTCTTAGTCCTAGTTAGAGGATTAGATCAGTTCTGCCAGATAGTAAATCCTCCTTTATTCGCTGTCTCCATCCCACACTACCAAACCCCCGGTCATTTGTTGTAATTTAGTCGTTCGGTGCTGGAGAAACAACTCATCTGCTCTGCTTCATCAGCCCTGCACCTACCCGGCCTGCCACCCGCCCCTCCACACACTCCGTCTCACTCCCCTCACACTCGTGCTTTATCACTGCCTGGCTGGCACCTGCGATCGATAGACGTTCCCTCTTTATTATGTCATTTGATCTTGTCACCCGCGGCGATCACATGGTATGATGGAATTGTATTGATCCCGCGGCGCGATTTACATTAGACCCCGCGATCAGATTTTTGGCGCGTTGGAGTGCTCGGTCTCATTTAAAGTCTGCCATCAAGGGGGGTCCCGCTCGATATCTGGATGTGTCAAGTAGCGAAATGAGCCAAGCAGCAACCGAAGATTGTAATTATAGCCGTAGAAGATACATCAGAGTCAAGCAGAGAGAGCACTTTTCATGACTTTTTTTCACAACTTCTTTCAAGACTCTGAGTTTGAAGCCCTCGTGTTTTTTGTTTCTTTTTTTGTAATGCTTTTTAAAATGCTGTTTTAGCGAGTGTCGTTGACGTCTTTCCGCCTCTTTGCAGGATCGTGTGTGAGATGGCGGCGGCCCCCGTGGACAGCAGGCCAGGGCCGGTCCAGCTGTGCGTCGGGGAGTGCAGACCGGAGCTCAGGGCCCGCTCGGCGCAGCTCTACTCCTTCGTGGTACGAGGCCGTTGAAAATAAGCCCTGCTTCTTATTCGCTTTGCCACAGTCAATTTGAGGCAGACAAAAGAGCCGTGTGTGTTAAACTAACTATGCAGATACCTCAATGAAAAGGGATTTCTTCATGCAAATTAATTGTTTAGGAGCCGCAGGCAAATGATGGGAGTTGCCATGCCAACCAGCAGTGTAATTAGGCAGCTCTATGCTTGGGCTTATGTGACTTAGGAAATATCACTCTTTGATTGACAGCAGCAGGACTCCAAGAGGTCCTGATTAATAATATTTGCAGGTCTGTACCTGTTGGTCTTTATTTCTGGTAGAATCATGTAATTAATTTCACCTCTTCTCTTGACACTTTGCCTTTTTCAACTCGCTGTGTTGCATGAGTGAAACATTACTCAAGGCAGGTGAAAGAACTCATTTCTTGAAAGCCTTCCAGGGTTTTTTTTGGTTGGGTTTTTTTTCTTTTTTTAATTTTTTTTTCTAAATGCCAATGGTGTACATGTCACCCCACCTATGTTGGCAGATTGAATGCGCGTCAGATGCTTTCATAAGGCCTACGAGATGGTGTCATAGATTGCCATTTTAATAGAAAAGCCAGATAGATGAGCAGCTTGCCCACCTTCCCTCCCCACCACCCTCCCGCCACCAAACCTGCAGCTAGCAGATTATCTGCTCTCCCATTTGTGCCCCCTCACACCTTCACCATAAGCTCTCCCTTAACAATTAACGGCAGTGTGTAATTACTGCTGTTGTTTTCAGAGCACCTGCTTTAATCACGCACCTTGGAAGTCACACACACTCAGTTCCAAGACGCATTTGTGAGTTTTTATCATTGTGGGGTTCTTGGCGCCACACCAGTGTATCCTTCACAAGTCTTTTTTTTTGTCTTTTTTTTTTTTTTCTCCCAACACTACCACTGCGTGAGGGTGTGGAATTCCCTCAAGATCTCTCCACAGAGCCCACATTGCACCTGATATATGGAAGAACGTAGCCACACAATGGCACTTTGGCTTTTCTGGTAACGAAAAGTTCACGTGTAGGGGAAAAGTTCACGCTAAGGGCAGGTTTAGTTGTTCTTTCCCCTTTTAGGAGACAGAAGTCTGTTCACTTCTTCCATGTGTTTTTAGCGTTCCCGTTAAGGAGATCGCCACCGTGTGTGTGTGTGTGTGTGTGTGTGTGTGTCTCCCCATAAGACGCGCTGTCTGCGTGACGGCAGCCTAGCCGCAGTAAACAGCAGTTATTTTCAGACTGTCTTTAAAAAGCCTCGCTCAGACACAATTCAGCAATGACTAACACTAGCGGGATCTCTCCGGGATTGTAAGAGCTCCTGGTTTTATCCTCTTCTCTCCCACTAGCACTCCGCTCCACTTCCATCAGGCTGGCAACACGAATAGCTGTAATTTGCTTGGGATCTGTGATAATACAGGATGTTGTCAAGTGTTGCCACAGGGATGCATCCTTGTTTACTCTTGACAGTATTCATCTTTTAGTCTGCCAGTTGGTTTCTCTCATTGCCTCTCCGCCCCGTTTCTTCTCTCTCCCTTTGGATAGCGCTGAGGTCTGTCTAACATCTCTTCTTTATTTTTCATTTTCTTGCAGACTCCAACAGTCACAGACCTGTCCCCGAGAAGAGGTCCGGAGTCTGGAGGCACTAAAGTTACCATAATGGGGGAAAACCTGGGTGCTGGCAGCAGTGTCAATGTGCAGATCGGAAACCAGACATGCGAGTTCTTTGGGTGAGACTTCCCTATTTTTACCACTAGAAACCCAACCAGATTGGTAACACAGAATACCCAATGAGCTCTCATTTGTATGGAGGGCCAAAACTCCAAGAATACCAAATGAAGACAGCAAACATAAAATTAAAAGGCTTGCTCGGGAAATAATGCCAATAAAAATAATTTGAACATTTGATTTGTATTCATTCAATTAATTTGAAATAGATTAATCTGATTCAATGTTTACTTTTATTGGTTAGACTTTTGTAATCCATCTATTGACTTTCTTTTTCACTTTTCCATTCCATTTTTAGTTTATCTACATATTGATATATGTTGTTTTTTTTACTTTTGATTTAATGTTTGCCAAAACATATTTTTGTTATTTTCATTTTATCATATATTCTTAATTGATACTTTTTTTCATAATTTTTTCTGCATTATTGTCTCTTCGAGAGCTTTTGTTGTCCTGGTTTTTTATCTGCTTCTGGTTCCTGGTCCCATGTATAGCATTAAGTTTTTTAAGAATTACAATTCTTAAATCACTTATGTGAGTATTAAATGATAATATTTTCAAACATTTACCAACATATTCGTTTATTTGACGAGCCATTTTTTAATTTCTCTAAGATTTAGGCAGTTTTGCTCCTCCTTACTGGTATACTTATGTCATTTACGATCAATTACATATGTTTAGCATCGTTCAACTTATAGTATGATGTCTCCAACGGTACAGTATGATGATAATGTTAGAAGGATAGCCTCAAAGTAAAACCCTGTTGCCAAATGGTGAAACAACGCAGTCCATATGTCTTTGTCTGTTCTCAATTTTGGACTGTTTCTCTTGTAATACATTCATTTCTGTTTTCATTCTGATTTTGTAACACTGACACTGCCTTTTAATATTTCATGAAGTTGCTTTAACTCTCTGGCCCCCCTACATACATCACTGTCAGAAATGTTAGGTATACGCTACGCTGTGCGCAAATCCAATGAGAAAACATTCCAGTTTTCATAGTGTTGTAGATTGTGGCCATTTGATAAGTCATTATATTTTTCTGCTTTCTGTTATACTTGGTATTACTGAGACTCTCTACCCCCCCGAGGAAAAACTCTCAGATTTTCTGTCAGAAAGTTGTGTAAATCTTAATAAGGTTTTGATCACTTACTACATGAAACCTTGTGCAAATAGCTTAGAGAAAAATCTTTCTTCTTTTCTCATCCAGTCCCATCCTTCTCATTACGTTCCTAGCAATTTGTTTTGACCAACCTCCTCTTACCCCACTATACTCATCTTTATTAACTCCACTCTCACAGTGTGCATTCATTTCTCCTCACAAATCCCCTCCTCTGTATCTTAGATGCTCCCATGTGCCTTCTTCCCAGTCCTAAAGGCACTTATTTTCAGCCTTGCAAAAGCAGCCTGGCTGAATTGTCGTGATACTCGGGAGTTAAACCTGTTTTTAATGATGGTTTGTGGTTTGTTTGTTTGTTTTTTGGTATTGGAGGGGGGGGGGTAGCTTTACTAATGAATTAGTAGAAAAGATTAATTGGAACAATTTCAGAAGCTGTGCAGG